TGTAGTTGGATTCTGACTTTTGAGAGGTTGGTTACTCATTTCTTCCAGTAGACAGAAATCATAGTATTTGTTTGCTGGAGCATGAGCTGCTTTATTTCTATTTTCAGAGTTTCACTTTGGGTCCACAATGGGGCCTAAAGCCAGTGCTAGAGGTTCCCAGCCAATGAGAGTGCAGCGGAGCGTGGCCGTCCTGCAGATGGTGACAGGTGGGGACTCTGCCCCTTCACTCTTGGAGGTCAGGTAGGGCTAAGTGGCTGCAGCTCCCTAAGCAGTCAGTCCTTTTTTAAAAAAGTAAGAACAATGGCCTTCATTTGTTAAACTTTTTTTTTTTTTTGTAACTCAAGAAAGGATCATTGTGGTGCTGAGCCTCCAGTGCCACCAGACTCAGGGTTGCCAGGTAGGCAGGGTCACAGCTGGGCACCCCGTTGTGCTGCTGCAGACGCCAGCCCCGTGTCCTGGCCTTGGGATTGAGTCTCGGGGCTGGCTGCATGTGTTGGTGTGATTTCAGGGCACACACATGGAACGTGCTGCCCAGGAGCTGGGCCCAGGGAAGTCACGTGTCTCAGCCCTGCAGAGTTGTCCTGGCGTGGTGCACAAACTGGCTGGTGACTCGGAGAGCAAACAGTACCCCCAACCCCAAGGGTGTCTGCGGGCGCTAGGCCTCACGTTCGGATTCTTTGGCATGTCCCAAGCTGAGCATCACCGGACCCAGACCCGTCACAGCCATGCTGAGCTTGCCCGTGGGGGAAAGCATGGGGCTTTCTGGGGCAGGAAGCAGGGGAGGAGGCTCTCAGAACAGCAGGAGATGGGAGCGCGCTGTCCCGGGACTGTTCTCCGCCTCCCTCTGCCGTCCAGGCGCCCGCTGCCAAGTCCCTTCTGCCAGGCTCCTGATGCTCCCTGGGCCGCGTAGACCAGGGCTGCCCTGTGATGTTTGACCACATCAGCCTGCTGCTTTTCCTCAAACGTCACCCTTGCCAGGGATGCCCCCGCCCCTGCTTCTCGGCTTCTTGGGACAGACATCCTTCCTTAGGTCCAGTAATTCCGGTGATTCCAATAAAAAACACAGCGAGTTTCTTGTCCACCCTAAGCAGGAGCAGTGGGATTGCAGTGTGAGAGGCGTCCTCCGGCGGCCTAGGTAGGAGAATCCGTCTCCAGGAGCCTCCCCGCTGACCCCTGTGGCTGGCCGAATGTGTCATTTGTTGTATGTGCCCTGACATGGAGAAGGTTGGAAAGCACTCCCTAGTACTATTTCACACCAAGTGACATTGTGGACTGCAAGCTCAAAAGCACAGGCAACAAAACCGAAAACGGACAAATGGGACTTGTTAAACTAAAGAGCTTCTGTACAGCAAAAGAAATAATCAACAGAGTGAGCAGACAACCAACAGAATGGGAGATAATATTTGCAAACTATTCATCCAACAGGGAACTCATATCCAGACTTCACAAGGAGTTCAAACACCTCAACAACAACAAAGACAAATAATCCCATTTCGATGTACTTTTTAAAGTAGGCAAAAACAAAAACAAAAAAACAAAAAAACAGGAATAGACCTTTTTCAAAAGAAGACCTACAGATGTCCTACAGGTATATGAAAAGATGCTCAACATCACTAATCATCAGAGAAATGCAAATCCAGACCACAATGAGAGCATCTTACCCCACCAGAATAGCTATTATTAAAAAGACAGAAAATCACAGATGTTGGCAAGGATGTAGAGACAAAAGAACTCATTCACTATTGGTGGGAATGTAAATTAGTGCAACCTCCATGGAAAACAGTATGGAGATTTTTCAGACTAAAAATCGAGCTACCATTTGATCCAGCAACTCCACTATTGGTTATCTACGCAAAAGAAAAACAATCAGGCCGGGCGCGGTGGCTCAAGCCTGTAATCCCAGCACTTTGGGAGGCCGAGACAGGTGGATCACGAGGTGAGGAGATCGAGACCATCCTGGCTAACACGGTGAAACCCCGTCTCTACTAAAAAATACAAAAAACTAGCCGGGCGTGGTGGCGGTGCCTGTAGTCCCAGCTACTCGGGAGGCTGAGGCAGGAGAATGGTGAGAACCCGGGAGGTGGAGCTTGCAGTGAGCTGAGATCGCCCCACTGCACTCCAGCCTGGGCGACAGAGCGAGACTCCGTCTCAAAAAAAAAAAAAGAAAAGAAAAACAATCAATTTATCAAAAAGATAACCTTCGCTCATATATTTATTGTAGCACTAGTGACAGTAGTAAAGCTATAGAGCCAACCTAAGTGTCCATCAATGGAAGAAGAAAATCCACTAGATAAAGAAAAAGTGTTACTTACATAATAGAATACTATTTGGCCATCAAAAAGAATGACATCATGTCTTTTGCAGCAACATGGGTGAAACTGGTGGTCATTATCTTAAGTGAAACAAGCCAGACACAGAAAGTCAAATAACTCATATTTTCGTTCTTAAGTGGGTGCTAAAAATTGTGTCCACATGTATGTAGACAGCGGAATGATAGACAGTAGGGCCTCAGAAGAGTGAGGGGACAGGAGACGGGTAGATAACAAGAAATTGCCTAATGGATGCAATGTACATTATTTGGGTGATGGGTACCCTAAAGCCCTGACTTGGCCACTAGGCAATCTATGCATGTAACAAAATGGCACTTGTACACCATACATTTATACACACATCTTTAAAAAGGAAAAGGAATACATCCCCCCAAAAATGAGATTGTGTCAACTGTTACTCCGTAGGTTAGGGCGTCAGTAGAAGCAATATTAGACCTAAACCGAATAGCATTCTGATTCACATGTTTGTGACTTCATGGCAGCAGGTAGGCCTCAGACCCTCCTCCAGCCCTGTCAGATAGATGCCCACACAGGTAAGAATAAGGGAAGAACCAGGGTCTGTAGAAGCTGGCAGCTGGGGAAGCCTTACAATAGTTAACTATTCCCCAATGCATTGCTTTTCGCAGGAGGAAGATGTACGTGAGTCGAGACACCTAAAGTTTAGTATTGGGAGAAGAAAAGGGGAATTAACATTTATGAAGAACCAAAAAATAGATGCTATGAGTGTTCTGTGTGCTAGACTCTCAATTTAATCTTTCAGATACTCTGCGATGTCCCATGTTTCACCAGGTCTGAGACATGTCCCCCACCAACCCATAGTTTGAGATCTCTGAAACTGAGGACATGTTAACATCAGCAGTCCCCGACAATCAATATTTGTCAAGTAACCATCATGACACAGTTGTGACTGCCCAGAGATGCTAACATGATTGTAAACATGATTATATAATTAAGAATCTAATTAAGTCCAAAAGAGAACTTTAAGCAAGGTTAAAATAAAAATTCTAAGTAATGAGAAACCATTGTATTATAATTTAGTTGGCACTGGTACACAAGCAAGTCAAATAAATGCAAATCCAAATTAAAAATCCAAGTAAAAGTGCCAGGAGCAAAACTTACAGTGACTAGATAGAAAGTCTTAGCAGTAATTACACAACACACTTTTAGACTGTAGGAACCAAATGGCTGTGAGGAGGCGGCCAGGGAAGTGATGAACCAGTTGTGCTCAGCAACATTTCTGAAGGGAGAGACAAAAGTTGGCTGATTTTCCATCGTTGTTCTGACAGTTTAAGAGGCAGAACCATAAGTTTTGGTTCCTCAATGCATTATTTTTAAAATGCTGCATCAGCAAAATTTTTGATAACAATTTTAGGAAAAATTAGCCCAAACTTAGAAATAAGGCAGAGGGAGGGCCACACCTCCTCTCAATGTCTGATAGACCACTTGTCCTCTAATGGAATGCACTGCTTTTGTTTAAATGTTTGTTTGTTTGTTTTGAGATGGATTCTCGCTCTGTTGCCCAGACTGGAGTGTAGTGGTGTGATCTCGGCTCATTGCAACCTCTGCCTCCCAGGTTTAAGCAATTCTCCTGCCTCAGCCCCCTAGGTTGCTGGGATTACAGGCATGTGCCACCATGCCTGGCTAATTTTTGTATTTTTAGTAGGGATGGGGTTTCACTCTGTTGGCCAGGCTGGTCTTGAACTCCTGACCTCAGGTGATCCGCCCGCCTCAGCCTCCCAAAGTGCTTTGGAAGTCTTATGAATCTTATGATTCTAATGTTACATGTTTTTTAGTTATTTACATTTATGATATTAAATTGAAAGGATGTTTTCAAAATTTGAAAACAATATGTGGTCATTTCAGCAACTTGCTGTTTTATTTTTATGTTTATTTTATATGATTTTTAAAAGTTATCAAAGTATTTGGGGACGTTTCTCAGTCAGATACCCTTGAAAAGATCTGAATATAATAAATCTGTAAAGGAAATGTCAATATTTGAAGGGATCCCATAGCAAATTTAATTAGCCCCTTAAATATTGTAAGTGTACCTTTTCCATTTTTTATATTCAGGTTTCTTTCTGAATATTTTCATTTCTGATTGACAGACTTTCCCAAATACTACACTTAGTGCATGTTGAGCATACACTTTCCTAATAAATAAAGTAATAAGGTTTAGAAGCTGAACTTTAAAAACTTAAGAACAAGCTTCAATAAGTTGAATATTAATTTTTAAAATCAAAATAGTCCCTGAATAATCTTTTCTACCTAAAAGGACTCCAAGAATCACAGACACCCACATTCACTTTTGGGTGCAGCAGACAGAGGCCAGACCAGCTTATCACCGCTGACCCTTTCAGAGCCTCAGTGGGTAAAATGAGTGCGTCCTCATAATGAGAGCTGCTATATTTGGGATCTCTCCTTGCTCCTCCATTCGTGATCTTACTTTCCTTTCAGTCCTAAAGATTCAAACACGTGGTGTCAGTGTTGCTCTAAAGCACAGACCGATTCCCAGGGTCAGGCTCTAAATTGTTTAACTAAATCCATTGACAAATCACCCAGAAAAGCTTTTAATATGTTTGCAGGCTTAACCATAGAAGCAAAGCAAATTGTTCTTGAGATCTTCAAAGCAGGCGTGCAGGTTTCACCAGTTCTTCCGCTTGCCCTGGGCAGGTCTGCAAGTCTGCTGGAACCTGGCACACAGCGGCCCTCCTGCCCAGCCACCCGGTTCCTGAGCTTCCTCTCCATGCAAGAGTCCACTTGTAAAACAAACAACAGGCTTGGAATTGTTCCTCCCCTTCACCACCAGTAAGTATTTCACGCAGGTAGAAAAGCCAGAGGAGGAAAAGGTATTGAAACACAGTAGAAAAAAAAAAAATGAACAAATGGAAAGAATGAGTTGAACTCAGAGGCTCCCAGCTTCAGGAATCATGTCTGACACTTGGCATTTGCCTCCTGCAGCAGAAACGCCTCTTCCTTGTTTCTCCCCATTCAGTTCTTCCACTTCTGGATCCTCAAACTCATGCCGGGATTCGAACGTGTTGGGTGGTTGGTTTCGTTGCTTATTTTAATTTTTTAAACTTTTAAACTTATTTAAATTTTTAATTTTAATTTTTTAAAACCATAACTGCCTTGTGCTTAGAAGCCTGATTATTTTTCAGCTGTATTTACAAATCTCGCCCTCTCCCCAGCCTCTCATCTTTCTGATCTCCTACCCTCCACCGCATGGGAGGACACAGATTCCCTTGTGTCTCAGCCCTGCTGCAGCAGGCGGTTAGACAAAACCACATTGTCCTTTATAAACGCAGAAATCAAGCTCGCTCGCTCTCTCCCCCCTTTACCCACCCACCCCCTTTTTCTGTTCTCTCTCCTTCTCTCTGTTCCTTTTCCGTAATGTCAAATCTATTCCACTAAGGGGTTGCTCTTTGACTAATTTCACCACTTAATTTTCTAACATTCATTCTTGACTTTCAAGGAGGAAACTTCCATTTTGAGTGACATTTCTCGTGACTGAATGAATGTGGACCCGTTTCTCAACACGTCAGAGGAGAGGGTATTCACAACCTAGCCTTGCTCAGGAGGTGGAACAGGGCTTTTTACTTTGGAGGAATGAAGAGTTGAGCCTGGAATGCACACCACTGTCCAGCAAACCAGAAGGCCTCTGCACTCTGCAGGTTCCACTCTCTGGTCTGCAAAGATCTCCCAGCAGGTGGAGGCCATTGTCCTTTGCCTGACCCGGTCCCTGCTCAAGCAGTTAGAGGGCGAGGCCCAGACCTCCTGCAGACTTCAGACAATCAGTCCCTGGGATCAGACCCTGGGCACAGCTGGGCCTACTCCAGAAGGGTGTGGAAGGAGGAGAGGCGCACATGGGATTCGTCAAAGGCAGCAGCACCCTTAGCACTTTGCCTCCATCCTTGATCCAACCATCCGGCCTGGCTTTCTTCTCAATTTCTTTGGCCCTCAGTTTTCTGTTGTCTCTGCACGATGGTGACTTTAGTCACCAACATTGCTGACTTCGGTATTACTGAACCTTTAGCCTTTGGGCCAGCATGCTCTGCTTTTGGAATCTGCCATCTCTGCCCTGGACCCTGGAGTTGACAGGTGTTTGATGAGGTGCACTCTGTCGCATAATCTGCTTTTTTGTCTTGATCATTATTCTGAACATTTCCTCTCGGTTGTTTACTGGACTTCTAAATATTGTTCTGATGGTTGTGTTGTAATCTATCGAGATCTCCCATAATATATTTAACTAAATACCTTGTAGTTGGACAATTAAGCTATTTCCAAATGTTCACTATACCAAATAATGCCTTGGTAAGTATTAGTGTAGTGAAATCTTCACAGTTACTTTTTAAACATTTTAAAATTATACATACTGTAAACGAACATATGTTCTTGATAAAACCTTACTGAAAACAGGTAAGACTAAAGTCCTCATTAACCAGCTTCAATCGAGTTGTTACAGCCATCATAGAAACACCCACTATTACTGGTTAATGTGTACCCTTTTTTGAAATGTACGTACGTGTATTTTCAGATACCTAAGTGAGATATAGATAGATAGATATGCTGAATCGTTTTCATTTGTGACACCGAGTGGTGCACGGATGTTAACATGCTGTACATTCACTTGGCAGTGTGTCTTGGAGACATTTCCACGTCAACACACGAAGATCTGCAACTGCTGTGTGGGATTCCATAATAAGGATAAGCCGACGTTTATTGAGCTATTTTCTTATCCCTGGATATTTGGGTCGTGTTTAGCTTTTGCTGAGACAGACAATGCTGCATTCAATCTTCACCTTGTGCACACGTGCAAATGTCTCTCCGGGGAGATTCAGAATGTTCGGTTGTAGAGAAGAAACATTTTGCCCACCAAAGTAGCTGCAAAATAACGCCGTCACCCGGGAGCAGCTGAGGGCACGTATGCCGCCACAGCCTCGCCCACGCTTTATATGATCAAACTTTTGATTTTTGCCACTTTGATTAAAAATGGAACCTTGTGTTTTATTTGCATGTTTTTGATTTCTAATGAGGTTAAGCATCTTTTCAAGTATATTGGTCATACCTCCTTTTTTCCTTTTTTTTTTTTTTCTGAGACAGAGTCTCGCACTGTCGCCCAGACTGGAGCACAGTGGCGCGATCTCAGCTCACTGCAACCTCCTCCTTCCAGGTTCAAGCAATTCTCTTGCCTCAGCCTCCTGAGTAACTGGGGTTACAGGCATGTACCACCACACCCGGATAATTTTTGTATTTTTACTAGAGACGGGGTTTTGCCGTGTTAGCCAGACTGATCTCAAACTCCTGACCTCAGGTGATCTGCAAGCCTCCCAAAGTGCTGGGATTACAGGCGTGAGCCACTGCACCCAGCCTGGTCATACATTCCTAATCGCCTTAGATTACATGCCTGAAAGTTGGGTTGCTGGGTCAAAGGACGTGCAGTATGTGCACAGTAGTCTCCCCTCACCTGCCGTAGGTACATTCCAAGCTCCCCAGTGGATGCGGAAACCACGTAGTTCAGAACCTTCTAGATACTGTCTTTTCCTATGCATACATACTTATGATCAAGTTTAAGGTATAGATTAGGCGCAGTAGGAGATTACCAACAATAACTAATAATAAAACAGAACAATTACAGCAATATGCTCTAATAAAAGTTATGTGAATATGGGCGCTCTCTCTCTCTCTCTGTCAAAGTACCTTATTGTGTGTAATATTTTTGGACCATAGTTGAACACAGTTATAATATTTTGGACAACATGATTTCAGGTAACGGAAAAGCAAAACTGCGAAGAAGGGAGAATGACTGTATGTTTTTTACTCCGTGTGTGTGTACGTGTGTGTGTGTGTGTGTGTGCGCCTACCTAGCTCTACCTATCTTATCTAACTATCTAATCTATTGCTTTTAAGGTGGTATTTTTTCCAAGATGGCTTTCTGTAATAATTAAAGCAATTTATGCTCTCACTACAGCATATGTAAATGTTTTCTTATGCTGTCTACAGAAGAGTTTTACTTTTGTTTTTTCTAGGGCAGATAAATAAATATAACATCTTATTGATTTTACATTTCTTTCATTAAGAATAAGACTGGCTACTTCCATATCCTTTTTGGCAGTTCATTTTTTTTCTTTTGATTAACAGCTTATTTTTTATTTCTCCTAATTCTGTGTGTGGTTGTTCACATTTATTTTTGTTCTTGCCAATCTAAAAACTCTCACATGGGTTAAGAATGTCAGCCTACATCTGAGTGTCAATAAGGTGCAGATAGTTCAAGGAATAATGCCTCACAGTATTGTGTTGTGCTGCCGCAGTGCCGTGACGTGCTGCCACATTATAGTGTCGTGCTGCCACAGTGTAATGTTGTGCTGCCACATTATAGTGACGTGCTGCCACAGTGTCGTGTCGTGCTGCCGCAGTGCCGTGTCGTGCTGCCACATTATAGTGACGTGCTGCGCGGTGCGTGGCGTGCTGCCACAGTGCTGTGTTGTGCTGCCGCGGTGCCGTGTCGTGCTGCCACATTATGTTGGCGTGCTGCCGCAGTGCCGTGGCGATGCTGCCAAAGTGCCGTGTCCATGCCTTACATTATGGTGACGTGCTGCCACATTATAGTGTGCTGCCACAGTGTCGTGACGTGCCACAGTGCCGTGTCGTGCTGCCACAGTGCCATGTGGTGCTGCCACAGTGTGAAACGACGTGCTGCCACAGTGTCTTGACGTGCTGCCACAGTTGCCGTGGCGTGCTGCGCAGTGCGTGTGCTGCCACAGTGCCGTGTCATGCTGCCACATTATAGTGACGTGCTGCCGCAGTGCCGTGGCCCGTCTGCCACAGTGCCGTGTCGTGCTGCCACATTATAGTGACGTGCTGCCACAGTGCCGTGTCGTGCTGCCACAGTGTCGTGACGTGCTGCCACAGTGCCGTGTCATTATGCCACAGTGCCATGTCGTGCTGCCACAGTGTCGTGGCCCGTGCTGCCACAGTGTCTTGACGTGCTGCCACAGTGCCGTGGCGTGCTGCGCAGTGCCGTGTACGTGCTGCCTGATGCCGTGTTGTGCTGCCGCAGTGCGTGTCGTGCTGCCACATTATAGTGGCCCGATGCTGCGCGGTGCGTGACGTGCTGCCACAGTGCCGTGTTGTGCTGCAGCATTATGATGGCGATGCTGCCACAGTGGCGTATCGATGCTGTCGCAGTGTTGTGTCGTGCTGCCACAGTGCCGTGTCGTGCTGCCACATTTATAGTGATGCTGCCGCAGTGCGTGGCGATGCTGCCACAGTGCCGTATGGGTGCTGCCACATTATGAAGCGTGCTGCCACAGTGCCGTGTCGTGCTGCCACAGTGTGCAGTGACGATCTGCTGCCTTTGGTGCCGATCATTGCCACAGTGCCGTGTCGTGCTGCCACAGTGTGGAAGTGACGTGCCACAGTCTTGTGTGCTGCCACAGTGCAGCAGCGTGCTGCGCAGTGCCGTGTCGTGCTCACCGCAGTGCACGTGTCAGTCTCATGATGTGTGGCCTGCCCACAGTGCTGTGTTGTGGCTGCTGGTGCGTCATCAAGTGCCACAGTGTGTATGCGATGCTGCCGCAGTGTCGTGTCGTGCTGCCACAGTGTGATATGCGATGCTGCCACAGTGCTGTATCGTGCTGCACGACCTGGTGGCGTGCTGCCACAGTGCCGTGACGTGCTGCCACAGTGCCGTGGCCGTGCTGCCACAGTGCCGTGGCGTGCTGCCACAGTGCCGTGTCGTGCTGCCGCGGTGCCGTGTCGTGCTGCCACAGCTATGGTGGCCGTCTGCTGCACAGTGTAATGTGATACTACACACAGTGCCGTGTTGTGCTGCGCAGTGCCATGTCGTGCTGCCACATTATCAGTGGCGTGCTGCCAGTGCCGTGTCGTGCTGCCACATTATAGTGACGTGCACTGCCACAGTGTGATGTCGTGCTGTCGCAGTGTCGTATCCTTGCTGCCACAGTGCATTCGTGCTGCCCATTATAGTGAAACGTGCTGCCACAGTGCACGTCTTAGTGCCACATTATAGTGACGTGCTGCCACAGTGCCGGTATGGAAGTGCTGCCTCAGTGTGGTGTCGTGCTGCCACAGTGCCGTGACGTGCTGCCACATTATAGTGACGTGCTGTGTAAGTGTCGTGTGTCGTGCTGCCACAGTGCCGTGACGTGCTGCCACATTATAGTGACGTGCTGCCACAGTGCCGTGTCGTGCTGCCACAGTGTCGTGTCGTGCTGCCACAGTGTCGTGTCGTGCTGTCGCAGTGTCGTGTCGTGCTGCCACAGTGCCGTGTCGTGCTGCCACATTATAGTGACGTGCTGCCACAGTGTGGTGTCGTGTGCTGCAGTGCCGTGTCGTGCTGCCACAGTGCCGTGTCGTGCTGCCACATTATAGTGACGTGCTGTCGCAGTGTCGTGTCGTGCTGCCATAGTGCCGTGTCGTGCACACCACGGCCATAGTGACGTGCTGCCACAGTGCCGTGGCGTGCTGCTACAGTGCCGTGGCGTGCTGCCGCGAGTGTCGTGTGCTGCCACATTATAGTGACGTGCTGCCGCAGTGTCGTGTTGTGCTGCCGCAGTGTGGAAGTGTTGTGCTGCACAGTGCGTGGCGTGCTGCGGTAACAAGTATCGTGCTGTCGCCGTGCCGTGTCATACTGCCACAGTGCGATGTCGTGCTGCCACATTATAGTGGCGATGCTGCCACAGTGCCGACAACCGTGCTGTCGCAGTAATGTCGTGTCATGCTGCCACAGTGCCGTGGCGTGCTGCCACATTATAGTGACGATGCTGCCCGCAGTGGCGGCGTGCTGCCACATTATAGTGACGATGCTGCCACAGTGCCGTGTCGTGCTGCAGTGTGGGTGTCGTGCTGCCACAGTGTCGTGTCGTGCTGTCGCAGGTACCAGTGTCGTGCTGCCACAGTGCCGTGTCGTGCTGCCACATTATAGTGACGTGCTGCCACAGTGTCGTGTCGTGCTGCTGCCAGTGCGTGTCGTGCTGCCACAGTGCCGGTAATGTCGTGCTGCCACATTATAGTGACGTGCTGTCGCAGTGTGTGCTCGTGCTGCCACAGTGCCGTGTCGTGCTGCCACATTATAGTGACGTGCTGCCACAGTGCCGTGACGTGCTGCTACAGTGCCGTGACGTGCTGCCGCAGTGTCGTGTCGTGCTGCCACATTATAGTGACGTGCTGCCGCAGTGTGGTGTTGTGCTGCGCAGTGTCGTGTTGTGCTGCCACAGTGCCGTGGCGATGCTGCGCGGTGTCGTGTCGTGCTGCCACATTATAGTGGCGTGCTGCCGCAGTGTGTGACGTGCTGCCACATTATAGTGGCGTGCTGCCACAGTGTAGGTATAGTTGCTGCCACAGTGTCGTGTCGTACACCACAGTGTCTTGATCGCACACGGTACCGTGGCGATGCTGCCGTAGTGCCGTGTTGTGCTGCGCAGTGTCGTGTTGTGCCGCCAGTGTCGTGTTTGTGCTGCCACAGTGCCGTGACGTGCTGCCACGAGGTGGTAAATGACACGTGCTGCCACATTATAGTGACGTGCTGCCACAGTGCCGTGACGTGCTGCCGTAGTGCCGTGTCGTGCTGCGCGGTGTCGTGTTGTGCACCACAGTGCGGCGTGCCACAGTGTAGAGTGACGATGCTGCCGCAGTGTCGTGTGGCTGCACTGCCACGGTACCGTGGCGTGCTGCCACGGTGTGGGTAATCGTGCTGCGCGGTGTGGGTAATCGTGCTGCCACGTATAGTGGCCCGATGCTGCCACAGTGCGTGACATGCCACAGTGCGTGTCGTGCTGCCGCGTGCCGTGGCGTGCTGCCGCAGTGCGGCGGCGGTAACTGCCGCAGTGCCCGTGGCCCGATGCTGCCGCAGTGTCGTGGCGATGCTGCCGCAGTGTCGCGTCGTGCTACCACATTCTAGTGACGTGCTGCTACCAGTGCCGTGTCGTGCTGCCACATTATAGTGACGTGCTGCCGCAGTGCCGTGACGTGCTGCCACAGTGCCGTGTTGTGCTGCCGCATTATCGTGTCGTGCTGCCACAGTGTCGTGACGTGCTGCCACAGTGCCGTGACGTGCTGC